ACTTAGTACATGTACCCTCCCTTTCCAGTGTGGCCCCTAGGTTCTAAAGTCCATGATGTGGGTGTGAACCCTTCAGTTAACAATAGGCTCATTATCGCAGTATCCCTCCCTCTCGGGTTGCCCTGTCTTAGTAGCTCTCCCAGCACAATTACATTTTAGTTTTTTTCTGTCCTCTCTGCTTGACCATTCCTCTTTGTGCATACAGCATTCATCTAATTCTCTTCCAGGAATCTTTCACTTTATTTAAGTATAATTTGGTTGTATATATGTGGAGGAGGCAAGCTTGGTGTCTTTACTCTTCTGCCATCTTGCTGGACTCTGTTCTAACATTGCAAAATGACTGGTTATCTAATTACCTGGATTGTTGACTGGTTATCTAATTACTGGATTGTTGTTTGTGATAAGTAGATTCTAGATTAGTAACCCCTGCCAGCCATACCAACTACCTCTCCTTTTATGAGGCATGCTAAACAATTATGGATTTATCTAAATATTAGCCTAAATAAAGTACAGTTGAAGGGATAGCTACTGCATAGTAATTATTTTTAGTAATCTCTAAAAGAATTGGATGTGGTAGGTTTTTAGAGCACAGTGAAAAGGGATTTGCCAGCTTGAAGGCCACTTTTCAAACAGGATACTATGTTTTTTAGGGAATTTATCTATTTTTAACAAATCGCTGCTTCTAGGAAAAATGTAAGTATAATTTCAAAGTTCACTGTTTTCTGTGTTAAACACTTTACATACAAAGAACTTGAGATGGAGAAATAAATAAAAGTAATCATTAAAAATGAATCACTTCATTACCTTTCCTTTTTAAAAAAATTTATTTATGCATACAAGAACTGGGATATAGATCAAAGGTTTGAGGGGTGAGAGGACTCACCAGAGACAGAGTGGGCAGATGCTCCAGAGTGGAGCAGAACAGGCAGATCTACTGAAACACACTGCTGAGGGGAGATAGAGGGCTGCGTTATGTGGGTCAGCTCCCTGGCCAGGGTGTGGAATTGTGCTGCATGGTTGTGGATAAACTTCACAGTGTTTCAAGGGATTAACCCTTGCACCTCCAGAAAGGGCCCTATCACCTTTACTTTCAGTCCAGTCCATGTAAGCTGTCCTTTTTATTGCCCTTTGAATCAGTGACATAGCCACTCTGAATATAATTTGGCATATTCTTTCAAGGCATTTTCCCCTTTTTCCTCATTGTTTTGACATCTGTATATAACATAGTTTTGTTTAGCATAGTTTTTTCTGGTTTGATATTATTCTATTGGATGGAATAATCCATCTATTCATAATAGTTTCATTTTACAGTTCAGTGATACTAATACTAAAGTTAAGACTTCTAGTTCTGGGCCTCCCTGGTGGGGTAAAAGATTAAGTCGCAGCACTGGAAGCTATCCACAGCCACTGCAGCATGAGATTGATCCCTGGCCAGTGAGGTGACCCACATGGCAAAGCAGACCTCTCCTGTTTCACCTGTTGCTCCTCTCACCTGTTCTGCTCCCTACTTTCTCTGGTGAATCCTTTCACCCTTGTCGCCCATACCTCTGGCCTGTACCCCAGTTCTTATATGTATAAGTAAATCTTAAAAAAACACTTCTGAGATATAAATTGTTCTTTTGTTCTCCTGGAGTTATATACTGTTGTTTTTGCTTGATAGACATATTTTCTTGGATCTTGAACCTCTTTACAGAAGGATTCTGCTTGTAGTAATATTTGACCTCAACAACTTTCTTCCCTTCTTCCATTAGGTGTGATTTATCAAATTTAGTACAATGTTGGTAGAACACGTCTTGGAGCTTTAAAATTGTTATGTGTTCTCCCATTCATACCAAAATTAGGAAAGATGATGTATCTAAGAATTACTGAGTTTATCATTTACTTACCATATCATTTTTTCCTTTCTGCATCATTGCTTAATTCAGACACTTTGAGGGGATGGTCTAAAAACTTTTTTCCCTTTGGATTTCAAGCATTAAAAGTGAGCCATTGCATAAGGTAGTTTCCCTGTTTTTCTTATAATTCAAAGGAAACGCTGGATGTGTGGAATGGTTAATGAAGGCTGCTATGCTAATAACTCTCAGTTGTTAAGTTAAAATGCTTAGTATTCTTGAAGGTTGACATTAATGCTAATTTGTCCATGATGCTATGAGGATAATTGGTAGGAGGAAAGGGCATGAGCTTGGAGCTGAGTCAGAATCATGAGATGGGTAGCAACTTCTGCTCTTTTGTGGATACATACAAAGTCACTGGATCACTTGGCTTTTTTCCTTTATTCATTACATACATATCACTAGTTTAATAATTACAACTAATATTAATCTATGCCAGCAAAGTACTTTTTGCTTGAACTATTAACTAATTATTGTGAACTGCTTGTTATTGTGTCAGAAAAACAGTGTGAAAAAAACTATTTTCAGTTTGATTTGTGGCTAGTTACTAATGGATTAGGATATGCCTGTTTGTAAACTTTCTTGCTGTCTTATGCAAGACTAATTGATTTTTTTCAAGATAAAGCACCAGAAGCATTTTTTGGAAAAAGCAGTTATTTTCAGCTTTTATCTGTATCATACAATTACAGTATGGCATAACAGGTTAGGATGCAGCACTGCAAGCTGGCTGTAGATGATGCTCAGTGCAAGTTCAATCTCCAGCCCCATTTGTGAGATCCACATGGCATGGCAGACCTCTCCTGACCCACTGGCTGCTCCCTCAGCAGTGTACTTGGTCAACCTGCCTAATCTGCTCCCTGCTCTGTCTTCTGGATGAACCCTCTCACCGTCCTTGCACTCCTGGCCTGTACCCCATCTGTATACATAAATAAATAAATCTTAGAAAAAGATGAGAGAATAAGAGTTATTTGATAATACCCTCAAAGAGGTCACAATTCCTGGAATTGAAAATGGTCCTGAAACCTAGAGAGGCAGCATTAATTATCTTGGGGTTTGGACTGCGTCTAAACTGATTAAGACCTAGGTCTGCACTGGGAATAGTGGAAACACATATAAAGCTGCAATTTTAGAGTTGTAGTTTAGTTGTTATTGGTTCATTATCTTTAGAGTCTAAGTGAAAGATATGGACAGTGTGTGTGTACACTTGCATGCACTCTCACATTTTGGTAGAAGGTAGAAATGAGGTTGGAGAGGAATTGTTGGAATAAGAATGTGAGGGATCTTCAGTGTTGATTTCCCAGACCCTTCCCTACCTCATGCTGTAATAAGCAGCTACCAGTGATACTAAAGGGTTAGCTAGAAACAAGGTTGCACGCACAGAGAACACCTTTCTGTCATGATTTCAAATGGTGAATGTGGGATAATTGGACATTTACCCCCTCTCTTTTCTTTCTCCTGTCAATTCAGGTGAACAGATCTTACCCTTTTTGTCTCCTAAAGACCCTAGATATTTGCTCCTTAAAATGATTATTATTTCTTGTGACATGGAATCCAAAGCAGTGATCATTTCCTCTTCCTGTCATGGATTATATTGATATTGCTATTGAGGCTCGTATGAAGATGTCATAGAAATGAACAAATACTGTTTCTTTTTTAAGTGTTATTTATTTGTGCATATAAGAATTGGAGTTCAAGCATGATATGTGTGTGGAGGAGGCGGGGGACAGGGTTCACCAGAAACAGGTGGATTGACAAACACACTGCTGAGGGGAAGAGAGGGCTGCTGTGCCATGTGGATCACCTGCCTGGCCTGGGAATTGAACTGGAGCTGCAGTGGCTATGGGATCTTCAAGGTGCTGTGCTTTAACAACCCTTGTACCACCAAGGAGACCCCACAAATAATGTTTTTGTTTTTCGTTTTGTTTTCATTTTATCACTGAAGTATACACTTTATTTCTGTCTCTGTATTCCCCTTTTTAATCTTGTCTGACAAAAAATCAGACAGACAGGAAGTATGAAAACAGTTTTTTCTTGTATCTGTAGTGGAAACCTTGGCAGCAGACAGTAACTGTTCCAGGGCTGTCAAATAAATGCACTCAATCTAATTACTTACCTTAATTACATATTATCAAGGAGTTGTAGAGAACTTTGAAAATCATATGGAAGGTATAAATGACCCAATTCTGTCACTCATAGATAAATCATTGGTGCATTCCTGCGCGCGCCCCCCCTCCCCCAGTCTCTTTTCTGTCAATAAACATCAGCTGTCATTTAAATTGAGTAATGGATTTGGGGTAGGAGAGGGTCTTAAGAGATGTCTCAGATTATGCTTAAAATTGTTGACGAATCATCACCTGGGTGGCTTATAGTAAGGAACTGTGACTTTTGCTGGCTTAGGAAATAAGGCAGTGATGTTAGTACTGATAGTTTTATGACTGGGTTGCTGTTGGGGCAAAGGAGGTCAAGGTTTTGAACCCTGGATTTTCTACTGTGACTTGAACTGGAAAAACCTGGATTTGGATAGAATAGGTCTTTAATCAGTTAAATTATACAGTCCCTAAAATAACAGTGTATCCCAGCCCCTGTCACATCACATCAGTTGAAAAACCAGTAATTGAGAATTCATACAGAATGTACACATTTGTGTTCTTCCTATTTGAAAGGGTTCATGATTGATTTCAGAATAATAATAATAATGGATTATCTTGAAAATGGAAGAATAGTTCAGGCAGGAGCTACTCCTAATTGGGGAATTCATTGGCTTTTTATGTACACTTGAGAGAAACAGGAGCTAGCAGGATTGGCAGTGGATTCATGGTGTGAGATACATCCCAAATAAACCAGTATTTTCTTTCAAGTGGATTGCCTGTCAGTTACACATAAAAACAGCCAATGCTCTCTTTTGAGAAATTTTTTATGTGATTCTCTGTATATATTCAGATCACTGTATAATTCATTCATTCAGTGTGTGTATTTATTAGAATTTTGTAGAATATATTGTATATTTGGATGAAGCTTCATTGCTTTTATTTATAGAAAAGTATACTTGGCAGTGTTTATTGTAAGTTCATAAATAAAAATTATTGTTAACTAGTATTTTTTTCCCAGTTTCACTTCAGCAACGGGTGGCAGAATTGGAAAAAATTAATGCAGAATATTTACGTGCACAGCAGCAGCTTGAGCAAGAATTTAATCAAAAGAGAGCAAAATTTAAGGAGCTGTATTTGGCTAAAGAGGGTAAGTTCATAAGTCTTCCCCACCCCTATTTTGACACTATGTTAAAATGTGATATTTCTTGGTTATATAATGCTAATTTTATCATTGAATTAACCTTGATTTTAATAATACTTATATTTATAATAAAAACTTTGGAGCTGGGTTATTAAATGCACTGAAAAGCAGTTTGAAATAGTGACATTATTTAGCTTTTTCCTTGTTTTTTGATCTTAGGAATGATATTTATGACAGGCTACATATTTCTGTGATACAGGACTTTTGGTGCTCTTAGCACTTGAAAGATAGCCCTGAATAAGTCAGGAATAATAACAACAACAACAACAACAACAACAATAATAATAATAATAAAACTAACATTTCATGGAATTTGTCCAACAAATGTTCAGGTGATTATCTACAAATATTTGTTTAATACTTTCTATGAGGAGACATTATGCCTGGGTGCTGGGTTTACAGCAGGAGCAAGGTTCACATGGCTCTTTGACTCTTGGAACTTGACCTCTAGTTTGAAAAAAAAAAAAAAAGTAAAGTATATAAGGCAAATATATATGAGACAGTTACAATGGAGGATCTAATCTGAAGAATGAGAGAAAGGGCTTATATTTTGGATATTGATTTAGGAATATATGAATATGATTTTCACAGCTCTCAAGACCAGTGTTTCAGAAAGCCAGAATGTGGAATAACAGCATCAACATCACAGTCACCTGGGAAATTTAAATGTCATTCAAATCTAAATGTTAAAAATGCACATTTTTGGCTTCCACCTTAGACTGCATGAATTGAAACTCTGGGATTAGTGCTTTCCAGTTGGTTTTCTAAGAAGCTCTTTGGGTAGTTCAGATGCACATTAGTTTAGACTGGTTCTCAACCTTTAACATGGATAAGTCTCCTAAAGAGCCTGTTAGTATGTTGGCATGAGGTCTGAGAGTTTGCATTTCTTGTAAATACAATACTGCTAATCCACGGAGACCATGGTTGAGAATCACTGCTGCAAACCATCACCAAATTTTTTAAGTTCATGTACTCCATAAAATATCTATAACCTCACATGTTGATATTTAAATTTTTAATTTTAAATTTAAAAGGATGTGAAAGATTTAAATTATATTGTCAATACTGATAACTTAAGTGAAAACTTGATGTTTTGAATCATATCCAGTGAAATCAGTGACCATCTATTTGATAAAAAAAATGAATAAGCTCTTTAATAGAAATGTTGTGTTTTGTTTTCTTTGTGTGTAATTCTTTTTCATTTCCCTCAGAATTTTATTCTAAAAATTGCCCTTTTTTGGTGTTAAATATGCATTTAAACTTGAATATGCATGAGAATTTTACCTGTAGGGTTTGTTAAAACAAAGATTCCAGCTGTAAAATTTCTGATTCACTAGATCTGTGGGATCTTAGAATTTGTATTTCTAGAAGATAAACAAGTGAAGCTAATGCTATTGGTCAGAGACCGCACTTTGAGAACCACTGGCGTAAAGTAATATTGTGTTTTAAAGCCATTTAAAGAATTAGAATTCTCTGTAACAAAAATATGCATGCAAATGCTATAGATACAGCTATAGTTACATTTACTAAAAATACATTGTTGATCACACCATGAATATCTTATAAATTAAAAAAATGATCAAATAGAATGATTTGAAATCCATGTATTATGCGATACATTGAGTATCACTCCCCCAAAAGCTATTTATGTATGGGTGAATATTACTTACTTTATGAAAAAAGTCAGGTTTAGTTTATTTAAAATAGTTACAGGTACAAGTTTTTTTTTAAATTGTGATTGTTACTTAAACATTGAATTGTACATTGAGTCCCATAGTACTCGGCTTTAAAAATACTTTTATTCTACTGGTAACAACTCATTTAAATTATCTTTCAATCTGGTGGAAAGCAAGACTAATCTCTCTGACCTGCTAAAAGATTTGTCATCATTATTTGTTACAATTTCTTACTGACAATAGTATTTTAAATTCAGGCTGGGTGAAAAATGGTTCTTTTGTTCAGCCAGGAAGGGGTAATTATGAAATTGGAGAATCTGCATTTAAGTATCCCTGTTTTATGAGAGAATATTTATGAAAATTGAGTGTCTAGATACTGACTTTATTTATTTATTTATTTATTACAAAGTTTACTTTTACATCATTTTGCACATTTTTTTTT